CCAAAACCGCCACCAGCTCCTCCGAGCGCCTTCCCCCGATCCGCCAAAAAGAACCTTGTCCCCAACAACACCGCCTCAGCGGTAGCAAACGCCCAAAAGAACGACCGCACCGTCCCATCCCCACCGAGATCCAAGCCGAGATAAGCACGCTCTTCCGCCGACCCGGCCGCGGCCGCGGCTGCACGGTCCCGCGCGAGCTTGGTACCTGTGAACGGAGTCCACAGGGCAATGTACACGCCAAGTGCGAGCGCGACAAGGGTGTGTAGAAGACGCCATAGGGAGGCGGAGCGGTTGGGGAGGGCGGGTTGTTGTTGCTGTCCCTGTGCTTGTTGGGGGAAGAGGGGGTTGCCTGTGCCGGGACCGGCGCCGGCAGCCCCGAAACCGGGCATGCCGGTGAAGGGGTTACCACCGCCGTTGGCGCCGTTGGCCCCGCCCATCATTTGCATCATCATGCGCATCATCGGGTCGTCTTCCATGCCCGGCGGGGGGGTCAGGCCAGGGAGGCCGCCCATGCCAGGGAAAGGACCAGCAGCACCAGCAGCGCCGGCACCGGGCTGGTCCAGACCGAGCATCATTTGCCGCAGCTGGGCGTCGGATGCCGATGGCGGGGGGATGCGGGCGGTGGTTTGCGGCAGGTAGAAGTGCTCTGAGATAATAACCTCGTCGGGGTCGGCGTGCTCCGCGCTGGGTTTCGCGTCGGGCGTGGCGGTTGACAGTGGCTCGGTTGTTGAAGTAGCAGTGGCGGGAGCAGGCGCGGGGTCTAGAAGACAGACAAACGACATGATTAGTCTAAAACGGTATAGTATGTAAGGTGAGTGAGTGAGGACGGGACATACCCCGGGGAACGCCCCCTCCCAAACCGGTGATCCTGTTCAGGCGGTTCTCGGCGCCGGCTTTGATCTTGGCCTCACGCCGGGCCTTGCGCAGACGGGCCTGTTCGGCGGCGCGGGCCGAGGCTGCGTCTTCGTCGGTGAGGATCTCGGTCATGGTGTTTTTGTCTTTGCTTTTGCTTCTGACTTTCGGTTTCCTTGGTCGGTGTTGGCGCGATGTTCGATGCGCGGTGTTTTAATTGTTTGCAAAAAATCCCAGGATGCGGCTCTGCAAACCTGAAAGAACACCTCACCAACTCAAGCGAGGCAATAAATCGTTGGTTGGAAATGGAAGTCCGACGCCCGTCCAATACCAGGCAGGTCCAGGACCAGGTATGTAGGTAGGTAGGTCCAATACCAGCTCAGCTCAGGTCAGGCCAGACTAGAGGTGTTGTACGGTACAGGTAGCGTTTGACGTCGAGCGTTCTTCTCACTAGACAAACGCAGAAGTCGACACGCAGACGTCGACAGGACAGGGCGCTGCGGATGATGATGTGAGGCCTAGGAGGCGTTGTTGCTGCGTTGTTCACCTCGCGTTTCCAGAATTCGGTTTGCTGCAGGACAGCAGGAGCCACGCCACAGGGCTGCTTATCTTATCGGAGCTTGGGCCTTTGCTCCTCCCCCTTTTCTGGAAGCATGTGGAAGAGGTGAGGGTTAGGGTTAGTACGTAGCAGATGGTATACTTTTAGCACTTGGGAAATAATCAAGAATAGGGAAAAACCGTGCAACAGTCAGAGAATGATCCAGGGAATGAAGCGGTGGGTGTAACTCCGTCAAAGTCAAGAATTGGGACTTATTCCCTGGTTTCAAGCCGGGGGTGGTCTTCACCAAATTCAGCCAGAGCACTCAGACCGAAGGGTCAGAACGAAAAGTCATAACTCTACACGTCGTATTTTCTCTTCCTACATTCTAATGAACCTCATCATAAAACAGCTGCTTGCCTCGTCTCAACCTCATAAACCTATACCTCCCTGCGGCAACTCAAACCTGTCAGTACCAACTCACGGCGTGGCCTTGCTCATGCTAATCAGCCTCTTCAAACCAACCTACACACAACACAACGTTAGCAAACCATAACCTCATAAACCAAATGCTTGAGACTCAAACTTACCATCCACTGCCCACACTCCTCAACCTTATCCCTAATAATCTCCGCCTGCAACCGGCTCGCCCCCTCAAAATCCCTCGCCGTAATCGCCTCCGCAACCCTAGTCAGCTGCTCCACTGTATCCGGCTGCACCAACTCCCCATTGTTAAGATGATCAAACAACAGACCCAAGCGCTTCTGGGTATCCTTGACCTGTGCCGCGAATGCAGCTGGCGCTTTGCCTGCGACCCGCTGCATGTCCTGACTCAAAAGGTTCACGAGTTGCTGCGCCCCGGGGGGGATGTTGGAGCGGTCGCCGGGGGGGAACCGTCGCTCGGCTGGGGTAGCAGCGGGAGGGGGAGGTGTTGCCGTTGTTGGAGGGACAGACGCACGGGGTGGCGGGGGGGT